AATTATGCTCCGCTGCGAAGGGTAGTGGGAGTGTCCACTTAAGATTCCGCAAATGACGCTTCGATTAAAGCTTGAATGTGATTTTTATGGATCGCAGCTGAGGGGAATAGACAAAATGTGGCCCAATACGCGGATGACGACCTCCTTAACCTGTTCAACTTGGAATCTCCCGAATAGGGGAGGATGCCGACCGAGCAATCAGGTTGTTGTTGGCGGGGATCGCTTCGAGACGATCAATGCCATTTGGCTACTGCTGACATCACCCAGCGATGCATCGACTATATAGAGCGCAGCAGTCAAAGCAAATAAACAATATTGCTTTTGGTTTCTGCCATATTTTCCCAACCAATTGGGTCAGGCGATCAGTGATCAGAAATGAAAACAAACAGTGGCATTATGTTTCCCATAGTCATATGCTGCGGTTTATCGACTCCCCGGCGCATTTGCAGGCGCTCAGAAAAACGACCGCCTTCTCGGACTCGGTCTGAAGTTCAGCGGCAATCATTTGAATATTGAAATTGCCGCCGCGACAGCTAAATGAAATTGAATATATTTTGTATAAATAAGAGGCGGTGGCGAAGGCGAAGGCGCACACACAACCGCAAGGCAGACGAGCAGTCGCGCCTCAAGCCGGGACTGGCTGTAGATAGGTCTCTGGCTACCGACTGCTGACTACCGACTGGCTACTGGTGGCTATCCCCTCCTCCTCCATCTGCCCTGCTCGGGCCCAGCAGCAGCGTGCGATCACACATATGCATATCCACCTCCGCGGCATGCTGCTCGCCTGTTATTTCGATTCCGAGGCGATCGTTTATCACTCGATTTGCATGCGCCGGCAGCAATCGGATCGATTGATCCGCTGCCGATTCGCCCAATCGACTGCACTTTTCCGCTGATAATGTCAGTCACTTGGCAGGCGGCCAGAATCACTTACACTTTCCACTTATTTCTTCCTATCCACCGCTGCAGGGTTCCGCTAAGGAGACCGCGTCGCTTCGATTTGGCCTCGCAATTAATTAGTGTTTGATATTTTGCCTTTGCCTCGGTTTGGACGCGATTTCTTCCACTCGACTTGCGCGCGGTTCCGTGTGTGTGCGGCGGGTTTCACGATGCGACTGAAACCGCGCGCGCTGCCAGAGAGCAAAGCGGTCCAACTCGCGGTCGCGATTCTGCTCTCAGCTCCGAGCGTTTTGCTCTGTCGATCTCCGGTGCTCCGCGTTGTTGTTCTTCCGATGTCTGGGAAGAGTTCTACGAAGGCGAAACCTAAACGCTGCTTTTAGTAAAGACAGCTTTTAGAGGGGGCCAGAGCTTTCTCCGCCGAGGGGGGGAAACCAGTTAGTCGATTGCCTTCTCTGCTGTTCCGGCTTGGAGTTATCAAACGCTTGGTCAAACAATGGCTACAACGTTTCGCACTAGCCAAGGCAAACAAATCATTAGACGGGCTCCGTGCCACTCCGATCGTTCTCATTACCTGGGCCCGACATCCGCATCTCCCAGGTTGGAGCAGCTCGAGATGCGGGCCTTAGATACGTCGACACGCTATGGCCCCGTCTGCCATTTTTGGACAATGTCTCTGACCGCTGCACTGGGGGAAAATGTCATCAAACAAGTATATATTTTTTATTTCAATTAAACCTGATATATATATTTTAAATTTAAGCAAAAATGGGAATCTTCCAAAGCCTAAATGTACATACCCTTGCAGTTTGCAATTGATTTGTAGGATCGAATCGGAAGTCGATAATAATTAAGGTTGAAAAATAGAAGCTTAAAAATATCATAACTAAGCCAAAAAAGCATTAATTTTAATTAGGAAAGCGGTCTTGTTAGTTTTTATAAAGTTAATAAATCAGCATACTCAATTTTAAATTAAAAAGAATTAAATTATTTCTAAATTTTTGCAAATTTTAATGATGTAACCCCTTATATTTTTTTCATGGACATGGCTAGAATGATTCCCCTGTTGAAATCGATCAAGAATATATATGATTTATACGGTCGGAAATGAGTCCTTCACATAGTTTCAAGCTTCTGACTAAAATATAATATCCTGCAAGGGTATAAAAAAATGTCTACTCGATTGTTAGAACCATAGAAACACACAGAGAATACTACTCTTTACAGCTAAAAGTGAAATTAATAAGTGGTAAATGTTTTTCTCTGTGTGCATGCCGGCCGTTAGTTGCCAAGTTTTTGGCCATCTTGTCTGAAAATGGTAAATGCTAGCATTCGACTTATTGGCAACTAGGCGAGAGTTTTGTGGGCCAGTCCATGGCGTGCAGCTAGCTACTTTCATATTTATCAAATCTGGCCGCAGTAACCTCTGTTTGTTTTGGCATTTCTATTTTCTGGCTCCTATTGTATGCAAATTTTTCCATCGACCCGATTGCAATATTGAGCTGGCTAAGGCAATCCCAATGAAACGGGTCAGCGAGGCTTTCTTCTTCGATGCTGTCCTATTAATACTTCAAGTCGTGCGATTTAAGGTCTATATATTTAACAATCTTCAACTATAGTTATGGGGTTGCTCTGGGGTGTGCGCGTCTGTGCAGTGTCAATCTTTAAATCTCTCTCCAGCGTCATCATCCCTCCGTCTCCCAGTCCGCAGCAGGCTAAAGGATGGGGTTAGTGTGATTCAGTTATGTTCGGCACTCAATGTGACTGTAATTGTGTGCCATAATCTATATATATATTTTCGTTAATAAACACAATAATACATAATATTTAGCAAGGCAACGCGGCTACTACTGCATCTCTCTGTCTGGCGGCTGCATATTATGTTTTATTTGAAAATTTATATATATATTACAGTAAATAATTTAGTCAGGTAGGTGGAGAAATAAGAGTTCTTAATAGGGTTCCAGCAGCAATCGATGAACAAACCAAACCCGAAACGAAACTGAAATCAAAGGGCCTGCCGGGCTGGGCTATCACTGCTATGGCGCGTGCTGTACAGCCCGGTAATATCTCTATGCATAGTTGTAGCGTTGAAATGTATACAATTCTCGTCGTGTGTGTGCTGCTTCATGTACAATTAACCACGTGGTCGTCCTGGGGCGCCGCTCCGGTCCCGGCTCGCGAGTGACTAAATCCCTAACAACTGAGTGCTGCCGGTGACCTCCTGCCGGTAATCCCAGCAGTGCCAGCTGACCGGCGTCACTATTTACTAGTCCCGGCAGCGGCGGCGGCGGCGTCCTCCTTCTTTTTCTGCTTTTCACGCATCATCTCGGCGTCCCTGTAAGAGATGGTAGTGTAAGGTTGAGGTCCTGGGACTATAGATTTTAGCTGATGGAGAAAAATCACTCACCTGGCCTTGCGCTGCTCCACGGTGAGGTTGTCGGTGCGCTTGCCCTTGTTGGAATCGGCCAGCTTTTTCTGGGCCTTTGCACGAGCCAGGTCACGTTGATTGCCACCTGCGGAGTTAAACGGAGATCGGCGGTTAATACGTGTCACTAAGCCTAGTGGCGCGTGCTAAGTGACCTAATCGAGCCACGAAGAGGTTAGAAGCTCTTGGCAGTCGGCCCCCGCATGTCCTAGGGCGCATCATTGATCATGCTTGTCTGTCGGCATTGCAACCCAACAGAAAATAATACCCTTCGTGTGGACACGCCACATATCTGTTTTACTCTCAAAGGCTCAAATCTTTGTGAGGAAAAGCGGATGAACTCGTTTCCTCTGCTAGCATGCTGCTGCATATTCGGTGCGTGGGCACACAAAATGGCTCCGATATGCATTTACTTACGTGTCATTTTTTGCACCGTTCGATGTCTGGTGAGGTAGTTGAAGCAATATCCCTTTAATTTTGTAGAGCGACGTGTGAATTTCGGGCTTTATCTGCGAAATTTGTTTAGTTACAAATAATTTCGTGTATTTCACTTTTCCAGTGTGCTTGCTAGGGTTTCGGTATGAAATCCTAAAATTAAGAACCCCTTCTGGGCACACCAAAAATGACAAAAGCAGAGTTTCAGCTTCGGTTTGCGCCCGTGCTTGTTACAAAACAAGCAGTTCACAAGCGTGTAGAAAAATATCGTTATTTTTAAAATAAGCATCGGAATGCTGATTCGAATTATAATATGTTATTTATCAAATCTATCACAAAATTAAATTATTTTTACCCAGTATATATACTGTATATCAATTATAGTCAAAAACTTAAAAAGGAATGAAGGAGTCATTTTTGACACTTTTCCGAAAATTGAAAATTTTATAAGGGGTTACATCATTAAAATTGCCAAAATTTGCCAAAGGTTTAATTTTTTAAATTTGAAAACTGAGTATGCAGCTTTGTTAATCTACTAAAAACTAGCATAGAACAGCTTTCCGAATTAAAATTAATGATTTTTTGGCTTAGTTATGAGTTTTTTAAACTATGATTTTTGGGAAAAATGGTCAGTTTTTATACCTTTTTGCCGGTTTTTATGATTTTAGTCAAAAACTGATCATAGCATCAACAAACGCAGTATGCAGATTTGTTGGTGCAATAAAAACTAGCACAGAAAAGTTTTCCGAATTAAAATTAATGCAATTTCGGCCTAATTATGATGTCCGAAAAACTGTGATTTTTCAAAAAATTGTCTGTTTTTATACTTTTTTGAAGAATATAATTTAAGTCAGAAGCTTGGAACGCAATGAAGGAGTCAGTTCCGATCAGTTCTTGATCAGCATCAACAGCACAGTCGATCTAGCCGTGTCCGGTCAAAAAATAAATTTTTGACAAAAAATTTTATTTTTTAAATTTGAAATCTTAGTATGCAGATTTGTTAGCGCTATAAAAACTTTCATAGAAACGCTTTCCGAATTGAAATTAGTCCATTTTTGGCTTGGTTATGATAATTAAAAACCTTTGATTATATTTAATATACATTATTTATTTATCTTTAATATACATTTTCTAGGCTTTAACTTTCCAAATTAAGATTAATGCATTTTTGGTAGATCGATTGCCAATTTGAATGGCTATATACAAACTCCGGCTCCTCCAAAATACCGTTATTTCTGAATTTATTATTTATTATTATTACGGATGGAAGATACAATTTTATTTTGTTACTAAAAAAGAATTTTGTGGCACTATGTAGTCTCTCATATGTAACTATTACCCGACGTTCGATTTTGCTGGCCGTACCGATTATGCAGATCGTCAAAGATGGCCACGCACGTGAAATCGTCATATTCCTGTCGTAAAACCCACATTTCCACTGTACTCAGGATTACAAACTTACTGTGGGCGCACTGAAAGATCAAAGGATAACATAAATAAGTGCCCAAACAAGTATGACAAACGATTTCTGTTACCTCTTTAGGACGGTCTCTGGACCAAAGTCCCAAGGCCTTTAGGTAGTTCTTAACCAGCATATGCCATATCCAATATGTGTGCGTGTCGCCAAGTTTTGGAATCGGCGGAACGATAACATTGGTTGAGACCAAAATGGGCTTGTTTTCACTTATGGAGTCTCCCATTCTTCGATGAACTGAAGAACGCCTGAAAGATCTAAACAGATTTTGGAAAAACCGAATAATGAAATCTAGAATCATAAAGATAGAAATAGCATTTTTGGTTGAAAATTTTGCAGTCGACTGTATTTCTGAAGTTAATTTCAGAGAGTTCTTGTTCCTATTTTTGTAAAGAACCTCATTCCCCATTCGAGGGTTTATCTTTTCCCAGAATTCCATTTAATAAAAATGCATTGTTTTTACAAGGATACTTGCGTAGCTTTAATTATTAATCTGCGGAATATACAATAACATTAACACTTAAATGCGTGGAAGATGCTTCTCTCCGGGGCTTCTCAGCGGCGGCTAATACTAGGGCTAGGAGCAAATGCGGATGCGGATAATGGATGCGTCTAATGGGCGATGGGACGGAGGATGGACGGCAGGGACTACCTGCGCAGGCAGGGCTCGCAGCTACCCGGCTGAACGAACGACGGATGGCACTCCGGGCACTTGGGGTTCTCGCCGAACCACTTTGCCCGCTGCTCGGGGATCTTCAGCTGGAACGAGTTGTACAGGTCCCCGCTGTTGGAGCCACTGAAGCCGGCTCCTGGTCCCGCAGCAGCTCCCGGACCGTAGCCGGTGCGGCCGATGGTCTCCAGGGGAAGGCGTACTCCGGAATGAGCAACTGCTTGCGCAGATGACCAATGTCCGTGGAGCTGGCCACCACGTCTGATCGGCGCTGCGCCTGCTCCGTCTGCTGCTCCTCGTCCTTCGCCTTGATGGATCGCGAGATGGGCAGCCGTCGGCTGGTGCTCGACTGCTGGGTGAGAACAGGAATCTGCGCCGGTTTCTTTTGGGGAATGGCAATGTCGTTGATCCGCGTGTTAAATATTTCTGCCTTGCTGGAGACTCCGTAGTTCCCAGTTGTCTCCGGATATTCGCGTCCATCCACACCGATGGGTGGATCTAGCTTCGGCGGCTCGAGGCCATTCGAGGGCACCTTCCACTCGTAGTAAATGGGCGGACCTTGTGTGGTGGCTATGTCGTGGGGCACAAAGTCCACAAAGGGTGGCAGGAGGTCGTTAAAGGGCAACTGGGCGGGCTGCACTGGCGGTGGCGTTGTGCTGGTGGGCGTGGCCAGGCGGAAGCTTTGGGCCGGAGCCGGTGTCCGGTTCTCACTGCGAGGCGGAATAGCCACCGTGCTCGTTGTAGTGGGTGGCGTGGCGAAGGAGAACGGTTGACCCGCCAAGGTAGTCGGTCTACTCAAAGGTCTTACTGTGGTGGTGCTGCCCTCCGCCCGGCTGGGAACAGCACTGAACGGTGCCGCCGTTGAGGTACGCAGCGTGGAGGAGGAGACCGCGCCACTATTTTGCGTCTCCTCTAGGTTGTAGATGGGGTACACGAAGGGCGGCTCGTAGATCTTCGAGGGCGGCTTAACGAACTTATTAAGCTTGGTGCTGGTGAGCTTGGTGTTACGGAAGGGTGCCTCCGCCGAGTTGAAGTCCGCCGAGGTGTTGTACCGCGTGCTGTGGCTGGTACCCAGATCGTCTGTATCGTGATCCGCCACCGGGAAGCTGGGTCGTCGCGTGAGCAGGGCCCCAGTGCGCCTGGTGGCCACCACTGGAGGTCTCCTAGTGGTGGTCGTCGTTGTAGTAGTAGTGGTGGCCCTGGTAGAGGTGGTTGTTCGAATTGTGGTGCTTATCCTGGGCTTGGCCGTGCTGCTGGCCAGCTCGATCTGCGGCTCGTAGGCCGGTGGTAGGATGGTCCGGCTGGGTGGCGGTATGCGCCAGCGCGTCTGGGACAATTGGGGATCCAGTTTGCCAGAACCAACGCCCTTAAAGGATTCGTCACGTATCTGGTTCTGATTCGGCGTCAGTTGCTGCAGGCGAATGTATAGATAAGATCGAATTCATATTAGAGGGAATGATCAAACGGCAAACTTATTTTGTTTAACCCACCTTGTATTGGCTCCTAAAGGACTCGCCAGAATAGTCGGGTGCATATGGGCGATCCAAGAGGTCGGGTCTCGGAGTGCGCAAGCTGTTCTCCTCATCGTTCACGAAGGGCTTGTCCCGCTGACCTGTGGAACACTTTTTGGTAATTATCCTGGCTAACATGGAGAGAGATTAATACCCACCAATGAGGAGATTGGCCGCATAGTTGCTCTCCGCCTTCGAACAGTTCACCATATACCAGTGGTCGCAGATCAGCATCCGCTGCTGGAAGAGAGTCGTGTTCGGACACGTGTAGCTGAATTGCCTTCCGAGGCCATCGCACATATGGTACACCTGGCAGCCCGTCTCCACATCCGCGTAGTAGCCGGCAGGACGACCGGCGCAGGAGAACGAAGTCTTCTGCATAAGGTGTGAGGCAGGATCCGCAGTCTGGATGGTTTTTTGAGCCTGTAGGGGGATTTTATTTGAGGTTTATTTTTACAATATTTAAAATTTAAAAAAAAAGATTGTGTTTCTGTGTTGGTCTTAAATGGAGTCTGTATTTTACTTAGACTGAGTTGTAGAGAAGCTTTAACTGCAAGCAAACTTTATCTTAAAAGCCCCATCAAGTGTATAAATCTTCATTCTTTGTCAGAGTGAAAGGAAGCGGCTTCTGTGAGATTCGCTGTAATTCCACTGGAGATAAGACCAACGACAGCATAATCTGTAATTGGCCGCCTTGGCAGCGGCTTTCCCAGACTGGAAACTATTAGACTAACCAAACAAATGACGGCTAGATCGATATCACCACCTACTCGTGCCCATCATGTGTGAATGCAGCTAAGCTTGGGCTTTAGCTGTGAGCTGGGTGAGCGGGAGCTAGGAGCTCGGAGCTGGGAGCTGGAAGCTATGGAAGCTGATGAAGCTGCCCTGACTCGGGCCCAAAAGTGATGAATTGACGCGATGTCATAACTTGGCACATGGCGCTGCTGCCACACGAGTGCTTGCAACAGTCGACCTGGGCTGCGGTGTGTGAAATGTCAACTTTATTTTTAGTTGTTGACGTTGAATTCGCGAATGTTTCTTTATGCCGCGTTTAATTATATAGAAAAAATTTCACGTTGCCAGTTCGCAAATTATAGCCCAATGACTTATCGAAATCTGCCACTGGATGGATCTGCTGGGAGTACGTGCGAACATGTGCAGAAGCTTCCGCTAGGTCCGTGAAAAATTATTATACATTTTTTTTCCCAGCATTCCAAGCCATCTATGCAATCGTGAATTATTGACAAAGGGAGAGAGGGACCTTATGCAAGACCCCCACTGCCCAGCAGTGTTAATCGAATGCCATCAATAATTAATCTCTAAAAACCACAAAGCTTCAAAGTGTCAGAACAAATGACAAGTAAACAAGGAAAGGAAACTAACGCCGGGAAGCCAAAGTTAAATACTCGAAATCGTAAAATTAAAAACCTCCTAACTAAGCCAAAAATGTATTAATTTCAAATTACTATTTAAAAAAAATTGCTCAGTTTAAAATTTCTGCCTTCCTTGAATCAATATTTAGCCACATTTTTATTCGACCATTTTATCCGGAAAATCGAATTTTAAAAATTTCATAACTAAGCCAAAAATGCATTAATTTTAATTCGGAAAACGGATTTATCTACGTTTTTATTAGGTTTATAAATCTGCATACTCAATTTACAATTTTCAAAAATTGAATTATTGGTCGATTTTGCAAATTTTAATGATGTAACCCCTTATCATTTTTTCATTTTTTGAAATAATTTTTAAAAATTTATTTTTGGACAGGACATAGCTAGATCGATTCAGCTATTGATTCTGATCAACAATATATATGGTTTATAGGGTCGGAAATGAGTCCTTCACATAGTTTCAATAATCTGACTGAAATTATAATGCCCTTGCAAAGGTATAATAAATAATATTTGTGTGAATAAAGTCTGTGTTAATTGTTGGAATTTTAAGTTAAAATAGTCACATTTTAAAGATTAAATGAATTTATTTTTAATTGCAGTCCCTTTAAATGAATGTCTTCTTTTCCTGTCGTTAGTATCAGAATCTCTGATGATTAAGAACATTTACGAGACCTTTCCATATACAGAAAGATACTGTGATTAATTTTGTTTCATTTAGAGTATTTAGTTCATTTTCCATAAAGAGTTTCATCAAATTCTCTGGCTATTATAATGGTTTTCTGTTCAATTTAAAACCAATTTGCGGAGCATCATTGGAGATGGCGCCATATAAGGTCACCTTAAACATAAGTCTCCGACTAGAAGCTTGTAAGGCCAGATTGGCTGCGGCTGGCTTCGCCTTATTCGGCTGTCTTTACGATGCGGAGATGATCAAATTACGGGAACTGCGGAAAGTACTCGTAAATCGGGACTGTGATCACTCCGATGGGGACGGAAAGGCAGGCATTTAACGAAGGGAGCTCCATTTGTGCCCAGGTTGTGCAATCGGAGTTCCAAGGCCCTGATGGGGTTTTCAATTTCGCGAAGTCGCTTTTGTTGTGTGTGTTTTGTTTTTCTGCTTTCGGGGTAAGGTAATTTGCCATAATTCGAGACGCTCTTCAATCTCATCTCTGGCGTATTTACGGGCCACACTAAACATACATTCTGCGCCTAGTTGCCCACTCGGCCGTTACATAACCGCCCAGCTCTGTCTCCGGCTCTGGCCTTAGTCGGCTCCATCCTCCACTGGAGACCGAGCCGCGTTTTAATTTCTCGAATGCAAACAGCACACACGACGGCGGTGTGTGTTCCATTTCTGCAAAAGTGTCAGACGAGTCGGAAAAAAGGTCACTTGGTCAGCGGAGTCTTTTGTTTTTGGGAACACTTTGAGACCTTTGCTTGGCTGGCTGAATCTGAATCTGCGGTGTTCGCTGCTCGGGTGTGTGAACGAACAGTGGATGCACTCGCAGAGACACACATAGAATAAATTAAAAATGAAACAAAGCGTAAAGAGCGCAGAATTACAACATTTTCCGCCGTTGCTCAAAAAGTGTCTTGGGAAGCACTTGGAAAGCGCGGTGGCAAAAGGCGATCAAGATGAGTAAGTGGAGGTGGCTCAGAGGCGGCCCTTCAAAAGGGGTTCTTTTAACAAAATCAAGTTTAACTTCAACTGATTAAGGATAAGTGTAATAGGAGCTATCGTCTTCCTTAATAGGTAATTGTAATTATGTTCTCTCGATGGGCGTTTCTTCTCCTTTACAGAAACACTTAGTTCTTATTAGCAAATGGTAAAAGATTCTTTTCCATTTGTGTTGGATTAAAGAATTTCTCTCTAATTATCTATCTTTTATTATGTGAAAAATTCTCCACTCCCTTTATGTCACGCCACTGACCACTGAGCCAGAGGTCACGCTTCGAATGATGACAATCGCAGCTTTAACGGATTACCATTTTACTGGATATGGTTTCATTGTTGTGGGCCAGGTGAAAATTGAATACTAAACTTATCTAAGGGCGTCTCTAAATGCTCGTTTAGTTGCAGGTTCATTAGCATCGATCATGCTGGTGTTTACGATACGTCTTAGCAATTAATTATTGCAATCTTCGGCTAAAAGCTAATAAGCAGCTTGGCCGCAGAACAAACACATAGTTTAAATATTTATACAATTCCGCCAATTTGCATTTGAATGCTCCCGCCTCCTCACGTGCACAGTTTGCCGTTGGAATCGCATCGGAATCTCCGCATCATTCCGATCTCTCGAGTTCCCCGGTCCATCTATACCCCCTAGGCTAAGGGTGGAAGTCTTGGAACTTACCTCACTGGCCAAAAATAACGCTGAGCAGAACAAAGCCAAGGCCAAAAGCCGTGACTGCGTTGGGATTGCTTGGGCCAACATTTTGGCGATTCCGTTGGTTCTCTCCGAACTGATGATGAGCTTGCGGCGATGTTGGTGGACTCTGTGGACTCAGTGGACTCGGTGGAGAGCTGGCAACTGAAAGTTATTAATAAGTTATTGAATGAACAGCGGCTGGGGCACAATTGATGGGAAAGTGCAGGCGGTGGCCCTAAGCTGGCGCTAATTGCCTTACACAATAACTGGCAGCGTCTTACGGCCCTTCCTTTCCATCCACCCATAGCATAATAATTCCGGCCAAGCGCCTTTTGTTGCCAATCTTTGCGTAACCGAGACCCTGTTTACCTTAGTCGTAACTTTCCCAAAAATATCTCCAACTCCTCATAGGTGAATATGGGAGTATAGATAACAATGAATCGCCTAGGCTGCTGTTTTATTGTCACTGCACATCCAATTTCCCCAGCTCAAAGCCAACAACCACTGCCTAATGAAGCGTAATTTAAAAATCATTAACATTAACTTGTGGTGTGTGTCGGAGTGTCTTTATGGACTGGAAGAATTCGCAACGCTGTCGCCTATTCTTCACTCGATTCTGCCCCCCCGATTCTCTGCCCGGCCTCCACCTACAATTAGATGCTGCGACCTTGCCACTCCACTCCTCTCCTACGCGAGGCTGCTGCTGTTCTTTACGCTCGTTTATAGTACCAAATTTGTGAATATTGAGTGGCTTTTAACTTTACGAACCCTCGTTTGGGTCAAGAGCACCTTAAGCCAGTTTGCCAAGTTGCTGTCCTAATGGAACGAACCTACCTGTCGAGACTCACCGAATCTCACATCAAGACACGCCTTTTCGATATTTGCAGATCTCTGTTAACGTTCTGATCGATCAGAGTATTGATTCTGTTAACTAACAGTTTCAACACGGTTTCAACACGGTTCCAACAAATCAAAATAAAAGAGAATCGCAGAATTATCTCCCTGATTTGAGATAATCTCAAAAAATTGGCAGACGGCTGTCAACTTCACTGCTTGAACTTGAGTCTTGAAGTGGCATTAAAATGCAAACAATTAAAGTGCCATTTTATTTGTTTAAAAAAAATAAAATTTTATTTTTACTTAGGCAAAAAAGATATACTAATTTCTTTAAATAATTGGTGATTTTAATGCATTGTTTGATTCAGTAAATCTATTTAATTGCCACCATTAGTAACAAATTAATCTGAAAAACAATTTTACAGCGAATAAAATTTTTACTATTCAAGAATCGTTACTGGATTTAAGCTAGCTTCTTCAACAACAACAAAAAGTAATTAAAAACAAATAGTTTGTAAAATGAATAGGCAAATTAACATATTGATCAATCTGCAATTGCAATTAAATTGTTTAAACACTTTTAAGAAGCTGACAAGGTCCATACATTTTCAAAGTCAAAAGCTAATAACAACAAATCCAGCTTTAATGAAACAGAAAAACGTACATTTAAATGGTAATTTTATACGACGAACTGAAATAAAAACGAATTTTCGAGTAAAGCTGTCAATCGAAATTCATTCCACCTACATTTTGAGGAAATTCGTTAAAGCGGCTTACGAATTCCACTCATTTAAAAGTTTAAATTAAATGCATACGATTATAGTTTCTCCATTAACTGATTTGCCACGCCTTCGGCAACCTTTAAGTTTAATAAGCAATTAGTAATTTAATGTTCTTTTAAATTTTACAAGAATTCTTCCGCGGCAATAAGCAGCTCGTAAAAATTATCCAAAAATTATCAACCATTAAATTGAAATTTGGCAATGAATAGAGTTTTTCCCTTTGGACATTTGCCGTGGTGGTACTTGTGCAAGCACTTAACTTTGATTTCGCAATTAACTCGTCAAGTAATTGAAATGTTTTCTTTTTATTTGGCTGCCATAAAGTGGCCCGATCATCATCATCACAGACCGACTTTCTGGGTTAGCAGGTCCCGTACATCATCAGCTCGCGGAGCCCCAAAGTTCAGCTGCCCAATAAAATCGCACACTTTTCAGCTAACGAGATCATCTGGCTCAATGCTAACCGCAGCAGGCAGGCAACATTTGTGGCAGCTTGTGGCCAGCAGCCATTTGAGCCAAGTGCGTGTGGCAACAACAACTGTGGCAACATCAGCAGCAACAGCAACATCAAGACCTACAACAACTTTAACAATATTGAACTGGCATCTAGTTTGGCGGTTTTTCCTTGTCTTGACCTTTTTGACAACGGAAAATATTTACTGCTTTATCCTACTCAGCCTGAACCCGTCGTGATGCTGGTTTCGGTTTTATTTTCTTGTTGCTTTTTTATGCTTTTTCCCCACTATTTAGTTGCCTTGTGGCCAGCGAAGGCGAAGCCTATTTGACATTTTTGCCAGCAATTTCCACTGAAAGAGCATTGCGAATCTAACTCGAAGATGCCCAGCAAACGAATAATAGCATCAGCATCAGCAGCAGCAGCAACAACAACAACAATTATGCCAATTAGCTGGCATTACAGGTTGATTACGGCAGGGCCAGGCCAAAGCATTTGCTCAGCCATAGTTGGCATTTTTTCTAATTGTTTTCGATTCCCTCGGATCGGATTGGATCGCCCGGATCGCCCAGAACCCCAGCTTGAGAACCCCCGCTTGTGCCGGAGATGCAGAGGAAGTTATTAAGATGCAAGACACCGATGCATTGCTCACCTTTGGGTCTTAAATTGAACAAACTAATTGTCGCTGTAGGTGGTGGCGTGCTAAAATATATTCCATATGGTCGGTCGGTCGGTCGCAGCTCTCTTCACACATCCGACGCGATGCGAGGCGGTGCGAGGTGATTCAGTGTGATCTTTGCAAAGATCAAATGTCAGAGACAGCGGCCGAGAGTTGCAGCCAGCATCCAGTGCCGCGTTGCAGTGGCACCGAAACAAAGTCAAGAGCACTCGCTCAGCGCCGCACCAAATTGGTCCGCATAAATTAAATTACAGTATGTTTATTTGAGAGGCTTCTGACATGCCATCAACACTGTGCAGCACTCAACGATTTCACAGTCCTTTGGATAACGCGCGCCCACGGGGCATCCAATGCGTCGTCTTCTGACTCGAGTTGGGAGGAACTCCGAGTTTGTCTTAGCCGGAACGACACAACCGCGTCGCACGAAGTCGCGCTTTGAACTGAAGCCTCCGAGTGCACCCATCTCGGTTTAAGATTCACACCGAGCCGCCCGCTACAGTCAAAGTCTGAGTATTAGATACACGCGGAGAAATAAAAGAGTGCGGTATTTACTCACAATTATTTGTTGAAATTAAAATTTTTTTTTATACCCTTGCAGGGTATTATAATTTTAGTCAGAAGCTTAAAACTATGTGAAAGGATCACAACTATAAATCATATATATTCTTGATTGGCATCAACAGGGGAATCATTCTGGCCATGTCAGGTCAAGAAATAAATTTTTAAATTTTTTACGAAATTTGAAAAAATGATAAATGATTTGCAAAAATCGACAAAATTTAAATTTTTTAAAATTGTAAATTAAGTATGCAGATTTATTAATTTTCTAAAAACTAACATGGGAACGTTTTCTGAAGTAAAATTAATCAATTTTTCACTTAGTTATGAGTATTTTATACTTTGATTTTCCGAAAAAAATAGTCATATAAAAATGTCCATAAATTTAGGTTCTCAGAAGCCGAATATTTTAAGCTTAGTTATACATGATTTCGATCTTTATAAATTAATTTTTTACGAGAATAAACTCTTTAAAAACTGTAGCTAGACTTCTACCAGTATTGTTTTCAGTGTGCAAATTCAAAGCATCATCAAAGGAGTGCCAAGCCGAGCTTCGTCATCGGCGCACAGTGGGCGACACAGGCGCCCACACACGTGAGAGAAAATTCTGTTAATTTGTTAAGAAATCTATGCAAATACTTTCGGATGCTGCCAAACGAGGCTTAGATGTGCCAAAAAGGCTTAGGGAGAATCTGGTGCGGCTTACAGCCCTGGATGCCATTAAACCCATTAAATTTTGGCAACTAACTGGCAGATTCCACTGTGCCAAATCTTCTCCAGCAGCTAACGAAGTTCAGCATCGGCCTGGGACCGATGGCGGGTCGGGTTTTTGAGTCAACAAAGCGTTAACATTGCAGCTTCATTTTCAGCCTCAGTCTCATTTTCATTTTCCGTTAAGAGCTTCGGCTTCATTCTCGGTTTCAATTTACCGCTAACAGCTTCGTTTTCATTTTCATTGCACGTTATTAGCATTTGCAATGCCACCGTTTAGGGAAACCCTTCACCCACCGGTGTTTATTTGTCTAATTTATTGAAACGTTTGCCGCCAAGCCGAAAAACAGAGGCAGAGTCAGAGGTACTGGGTACAGCCAGAAGTGGGCTAAATAGAGCAATCGAGCGGGCTGGGAGATCTTAGCCAGATTGGGCGGCGGGTTGCGAAAGCATTTTCCCCATCTCGGATTCACTCGCTGGCTGACTGGGGCTCTTTTTGGCGGCATCATTGTCAGATTTCTGGCAGTTGTTGGGTTTTGTAAGCGACCAAAGATTTCCATTTTACATTTTCCATTTTCCAGTTTCGTTTTCGATTCATGCCGTTTATTTACTCCTCGCGGCCCTTTTGTCGTGAGGCAAAAAGAAAAAAAAGCCGAGAACCGCCAACGGCTGGCGCACTCAGGTTTTCCTCCTCGCCGTCGTGTGTTGCCTCATTGACTTTCTGGGCCTCATATTCGCCGGGCGTTGGGTCTTGAGTCTTGGTATCCCCCACCCATCATCTGCATCAACTGCATCATCGTGACGAGAGTTGGGAGGAAGTCGGAGGCGAAAGTGTTAAGATAGTAAATAAACGGTTTATTTATGTTGTCTTGGACAAAATTAAAGAAAAAAAGTAACTAACATAACTCCGCGTATACGATGTAACCTAAAATTTTGTTATATTCTAACACTGGCTAGCCTGGGGCTGCCTAGGTGCGCTTGTCCACCTGATCGTGATCCTGGGTCTTGCGCACCTGTACCTGCTCTCCTTTAAGTAGTTGTAGCTTCTCCATCTCTAGCGATTGCTTCTGAAATTCAGCTAGGACGCGGCTTTCGGGTATATCCGTTTCCACACGGCTACCAACTATATCGATCTCGCTATCGTCCTTATTCATATATATATCAATGATAATGCGAACACCTAAGAAGGGAATTACAGTCAATAAAGATGCAAGTTCTTTAGGTAAAAGGTATTCTCATGCTTTATATATTCATATTTTAAAGATCACGTTGGATGACTTACCCTGATCCGTGCGTCGAAGGGTGGTTTTACTCCGATATGACTTTTCTACAGTAAGCTTCTCACCTGAATGCGACTTTGAGGCGTGGACTTTGGTAGGGATTTCCTGACTAAGGGTTCGTATTAAAATGAGGAAAGAAGAATTCCTTCATGTGCTCTCACCCTTCATCATCTGCGTCTTCCTTCTCTGCCGATGAAGGCATATCACCGGAAATATCACAATCTGCCTCCTGACCACTACCGAATAATATAGACTTGGCGTGTTCCAGCTCCTGGTTCTTCTGCATGGCGAAATTGTACAGGTTGATCATGTCGCGAACGCGGACGTATTTCTCCGCCTTGGTACTCGCCCCTGTCTCTGGCGCCTGTGGCTTCGTCTGAGTCTGAGTCTTGAACTTGGACGGCGACAGGAGCAGTTCGTTCTCGTGCTCCCGTTCTCGTTCCCGTTCCCGCTCACGGTCCATCTCCCGGCTGGCGGCGGAATTGATGCTGCTGCAGTCCTCTTTCATTGAGGCCATTGTTTCTATATTATTGTTATTATTCTTGTCGCTGTATGTGAATTGAAGGGTTCTTTCTGTTGAAATTTCAAGAATTTTGTTACTGGTTTGCTGAGAAATACGACTTCTGTGTATATGGTGAAATACTAATAACTAGGTAACTCAGAAGTAACTTGTTTCTGACAAATGTCGTCAAATCGAAATGACCTTTACGGCACGGAGATCTTGGAATTGGAATAGGAATATTCGGAGCTGGAAATGGGATTGGAATTGGGATTGGGATGGGGTCGTGTGTGTTTGTCTGAGTGCTTCATGTAGGTCTTTGTGGCAATTCGTTAGCAATTACAGTAACGAAATGTAAATGGAATTCATCTCCGTGCCGCCGAAGACGAATCGTTGGAGGGCGACCTTCGGGTGCTCGGTGCGGTAATCGAAGATCGTAAATCGAATGCGATCGATCGCATGATTGATCCCACCGGGGAGGGAGTGATTGAGGAAGGTTCGGTGATTAGTGAAATTTGAGCCACACGCTGAATGCCAATGGAATTGTCTTAGAGCGGATTTACCGCCACCTTTTTTCTCATTTTCCCTCAATTTTTTCGTGTATAATGAACGTATGTACATACATTTCTGTGTGAGTGGTTAATACTCGTATTTTGAAATTGGGTGAGCAATGACTCGGCAGCGGCATCATCGTACCACCATCATCAATCGGTAGCTGATGCTTGCCAGCGGCCAGCTGGAGGTCCATTTGACACAGCATCCCCACAAAAAATCCGTTTTTAAGGTCAATCTTTTGGCCAGCGACACTTGAAGACTGCCGCGAAAACAGCCGAAAGATTCGCAATCAGCGATGATGATTCGGGCAAGGTCTACGGCCGGAGAATGCAAAGCTCTGATAAAGATTTCCAATCACAGAATGCAATTCAAAGCTAAAGATGAGTAATTAGTGGCCACATTTGGCAAACCTTTCATTGGTGGTAACCAGTAACCATGATCCTTGGATAGTAATTATACAACGGTCCAGCTGCCGATGAATCTCACTATTAATGCGGGTAGAATTTAACATTCGAACAACTTCGAGAAGTTCCCAAAGTCTAATTGGTCCAGACATTGAATTAATTAAGGTTATAAATCACCGTGAAGCTAAAAAGACTCCCAACTACAAGAACAAATCACTCGCTCATATTTAGAGGTAGAATAATTTTTATTGAAACTCAAGAACAGCAGCATTACCCAGCCGAGCGTTGTGACTAATGTCTGTTTGATGGCATAATGATAATGCATTGTAAGACTGCCAAAATTAATTTGGCTTTAGTTTCAGTGTGGGAGTTCTTCTGGCTGCCTGCCCTGATCGACATTCTTTGACTTTTAATTCTTACACATCACGAACTTGGAATTCTGGCCGAGCAGCCCTGCTCTGCTCGTTTGTGCAATTAGCCGCGATGTCAAAGGGGTTCACGCCAGTCATGGCTATAGAACAGGCATAAGGTAAGGTGTGGGACCCACAGCAGAACTCACACAGGCCATACATCGGGCTGTGTACATAGGTGTGTCATCATCTTCATCATCATCATCGTCATCATCATCATCCAGTCATTGCTGGCTGTGATTCCATTGAAGGTCGCTGAACAGCCGCAACATTTGTAGCTGCCATTTATGCTCACTGACTGCTCTTTCACTCTACTCTCGGTGTGTAGTATTGGCCTCTCGCTTCCGCCCACCACCGGGCTCACATGTTTAATTGCCAAATTGGTGCAATTCCACATAATTCATGCCGACGATAGTTGGGCAGCTCTCCACCTCTCGCGGGGCTGTTAATTTGACAAGGTCCCGCGTTCGGTTCCAATGGAGAGCTTTACGAGCTTAGAGCAAACACTGTGGAGATTCACACGATTATTAAGGGGGCTTCTTCTCATCCAAAGAATCGTGCCGCGCATGAAAATCGAAAGTAGAGCACCCGCTAAGCACACATAATTGATAACTGAATATTATTGCGTATACGCCACCGGCAGTGCTGGGTGCTAAGATGAAAGGTAAACACCTTTGCCATCATACCAACCGACCCTCCTCCGTCTCAGTCTCAGGTTGTGGCGCGAAACTGAGCCGCATCCGGTCGCTGGCAAAAGTGGCAATTTCGGTGGCTACTAACTGCTAGCCGCCAGCAGCTGATGGCTGCTACAAATTTGTCAAACCAACAATGCAGCAAGGTCAGAGCGGCTGAGCGATGATCACGTTCGCGTCCGGCATGCGGTCAGAGCTTCGCCATATCATTGACCTTAAGTGAGGAACATGAAGAGCAGTGAATAAGCCAAGATTATCACCTTTGGCAGCGTTTCATTGCACTTACACTGGCAGCCGCCAAAATCGGATTTGAAGTTCAATTGCAGCCATTTCAGATGCTCCAGCTATGTCGTGGGCCCCACTCCGATCTCGATCTCCATCTCCATCTCCAGCCCCATCTCCAGATCCATCTTCATCTTCATTTTCATGTGCCGCGGACCTACCAAGACGCCCATGGCACAATGTACAACACGACTATTAAAGGTCAAGCTCCAGTACCGCGCGCGAGCAATGCAAACGACAAACGGCAACACAAAGCGGCGATAAAGCTTAACTATAAAAACAACGGAAACAAAAAAAACAGAAAACGTTAAGTAAATCAAAGTAAACAAACGGCGCACTTTGTTAATTGTTGTATTTATTTCCATTTCAGTTCGAGTCTGTCCGTTTTGTTTCTGTTTCTGAGGCTGCAACCTATTGGAGAATGATCTCAAAGATGCGTCAAAACGAAAGACTTAAGACACGAACTGGCCGCAAAACAATAAAGTGACCATAGCGCTCGGACCTAACAGGCCATATATTTGTACAGTCATACAAGGGGAGACTGTGGCCCATTGACACATTCGGAATGCCTCTTCAAATCTTCAAAATCTTTTTTAAAATTTCCCAAACGGAGCAGCGGCAATTTGTCGGCCAACCGACATTCACTTGTTGCCTCGACTTCTGTCAGGGGTTGTTCTGAAATGCCAAAATGGTAGCATACACGTCCATTGTCTCCCCGTCGCGACCTTCGATTGGCATTGGAGGAGGCAGGAGGAGCAGCAGCATCACCTAGCCTCAGGTTGCCCGGAGGGCATTCGGCGAACCCGAGTCAAGTGCGCGGCAGCAGCAGCAGCAGCAGCCTCTTCAACAATGAAGCCATCAGATCGACAAATATCTTCAATGTGAATTTGGTTCAGCGGTTGTTTGGTTCAATTGTATCGCACATAGGAATTGGGCCGAGTGATTAATTGGTTTGCTTGGTTTGGTTTGGTTGGTGTGTGCGTGTTGTGTTTGGTCTTGGGATAATGCCAGTGAGTATGGTGCAGAATAAATCATTTAATATTGAGCGTAAACAAGGCAGCCCACATACGATTGCTCACTACTCAAGTTTGGAGCCGGGCCCGCCGAATGATTATGCCTTTGTGGCGTGTAAGTCTTCAAATCCGCGCCTCAGCCTCCAATGAATGCTTTTCCATTATCTATAAAGCGAAGAAAATATGATTGTTAGGTGTCAATCAAAACTCTTTTTTGTGCTGTGTGTCGCGTGTGTGTGTGTGAACCACCACGTTGTCGTTGTCAATTAGAGGCAGTAAAGCCTCCAATTAACTTTGGAGATGGTAATGGCTTGCGGTTGAATTGCCATTGCTCTGCGGAAAATGCTGATTTACTATTGTTATGCCTTGGACTATGACAACCAAATGCATACAGACTGGGGATAATGTCAGACTCTTACAAATTGTAATTCTACTTTTGGAGGTCCTATATAACCCATCGACCTGTTAACATTACACAATGTCTAACTAGTTTTCTTTGCTTGTAAAATGTAAACATCTATATAAGGAGTCTATAGGGAAGGTATGCCAATAACGCAAGGGGTGGAATAAATAAAATAATACATTTGTGAATTGCTATATAGGTAACTAAAATGCAACGCGTTGCAATGGCGCCTTTTACACCATCCATAACATCGGTAATTGCTGTTTAAATAGTTAAATATTGCCTATTTTTGGGATTATGATTTTCTGCTCAAAATTGCTGCACGCTTCTAGGCAAACAGCAAACATTTTAATAGGGAAAATACCGAAGAGAAATCGGTCATAATAAACTAAAAAATAAGTTATTTTCTAAACGGAAAGTTTTTTTTGTAATTCTTTGTGTTGCCTTCCTTAAATCACTATTTAGCCACATTTTTACATAAAAAGTTCATAAGTAAGCCAAAACTGAGTAAATTACACTTCGGAAACTAATTCTATATAAGTTTTTATCGGGTTACTCAATTAAATCGGCATACTCAATTTACAATTTTAAAAAATTACTAAGCTTAAAATTTCTGCCTTGAATCAATATTAAGCCACATTTTTATTTGACCATTTTTTGCGGAAAATCGAATTTTAAAAATTTGATAAGCCAAAAATGCATTTATTTTAATTCGCAAAACCGTTAAATCTACGTTTTTATTAGGTTTACAAAGCTGCTTACTCAGTTTTCAAATTTAAAAAATTCAATTTTTTTTTTTGCAAATTTAGGCAATTTTAATGATGTAACCCCTTATAAAATTTTCAATTTTCGGAAAAGTGTCAAAAATTTATTTTTTGGCCAGACCTGGCTAGAAGGACTGGGCTGTTGATGCTGATCAAGAATATATATGGTTTATAGGGTCGGAAATGACTCTTCATTGCGTTCCAAGCTTCTGACTTAAATTATATTCTTCAAAAAGGTATAAAAACAGACAATTTTTTGAAAAATCACAGTTTTTCGGACATCATAATTAGGCCGAAATTGCATTAATTTTAGTTCGGAAAACTTTTCTGTGCTAGTTTTTATTGCACCAACAAATCTGCATACTGCGTTTGTTGATGATATGGTCAGTTTTTGACTAAAATCATAAAAACCGGCAAAAAGGTATAAAAACGGACCATTTTTCCCAAAAATCATAGTTTAAAAAAACTCATAACTAAGCCAAAAAATCATTAATTTTAATTCGGAAAGCTGTTCTATGCTAGTTTTTAGTAGATTAACAAAGCTGCATACTCAGTTTTCAAATTTACAAAATTCAATTTTTGGCAAATTTTGGCAATTTTAATGATGTAACCCCTTATAAAATTTTCAATTTTCGGAAAAGTGTCAAAAATTTATTTTTTGACCAGACATGGCTAGAACGACTGG